AAATAACCTAAATTATTTAGGACAGTATAGATAGTCATTTTGAATAAAATAACTTTAAAGTTATGAAGTTTTGTTCTCTGAGCTGGATGGTTTGGTCGTGGAGCTTTCATTGTTCTTCTGAACAACATCAGGTAAAAGTGAAGTGTTCGAATTTCTCCACATATAAGTTACATGTCCTGTCGACCTCGATCTTGACTGATTATTGCTGACCTTTAACCTGTCATTGTTCTTCTGAACAATTAAAGCTCCTTGACCAAACCACCGAGCTCAAAAAACAAAACACCTAAATCATTCACCTAAGTTACAAATCTTCATCTCAACTTTAAGGTCGATAGTAATTGCGCAAATTTATTTGTTTATTTATTATCTTACTGGTGATAAAAAAGTTTATTATCATCATCAATGTTTCTCATATATTTGTTGTCTTCATCTTATCTGACTTTTTCTAGTCCTGTTTCCCCATGTTCTTTTCATTATTATTCTCATTATTGTTATTATCCGATTTGATTGTTTATTCCTCCTTGTTAAGTTATTTTAAAGTACATTTACATTTGGCAGTACACTATATAATTGTTTCTTATTTATCTACCCGTTTGGTTTTGATTGAAGTTTAGTTATCACTTTCAGTTGTGTATTTGTCCATTTTGAAAGTGTCAATATTATATCAACAAAGTACTTTTAGACGTGGTATTCTCCGAACTGAAGTGATTTTATAGTAGACCAGGTTGGTTTGAGACCCGAACGTAAATGTGTAAACGAGATATTTACTGTTCGTCAGGTCTTGAAACATAATCGTACATCCCGACGTCCAACTATAGCTATATTTCTTGACGTTAAGGAAAAGTTTGGTTCTGTCAATCAAAATGTTCTGTGGCAGTATCTGTCATTAAAAGTCATACAGACGAAGACAATCAACCTTATACAAGTTCTTTACTCAAACACTGCTGATTAAGTTTGAGCTTATGGCGAACTATCATCAGTACCGTCAACTTCAGTTTTCCACTTCCCTCAATTTTGTTTAACTTTGTCATAGACGTTCTTTTAGCGAAAACACTTTCGTCGTCTAACTTCTAAAGAATTGGTCTCCTATAAGCAAAATCACTTGTTGACTTCGAATACACAGATAATATGCCCCAGGTTACTGAAGACTGATAATTTTAAGAATCTTCTTACCACTTTAAACAACAATGAAACCATATTTGAGATTTGATTCTCTCCCTCTAAATCCGAAATTTTTTGGGACTGGTTTGCATCAACATCTTAGCTGACGGTAGGAAGTGGAGTAGTTGAACACGTCGGTCACTACACTTGGTTGAGACATGTATTCAGCATAAAAAGTTACAGCCTACTTCGGCGGGTGGTGTTGTCTGGTGTAGGAGTAGGTTGAAATAAAGTTATGGGTGGTCAGACCAAAACAATGGCATCAGTTAATGAAGTCATTGATAATCGAACTCAAATATATAAGCAGGTGGAAATTACCTGGTTAGAGTCCGTATGATTATCGTAACCAGTGGTTGGAGGTGTTGGATGAAATGACTTGAGCTGTTCGCAATGGTGTGGGTGTATTTATTCTTTGCTTTTACTTAGATCTCAAATTTGTAAATTATGTTATGGTTTTCTTATTCCACGAATCCATATTTGCTCTTCTAATCATATATTTTGTGTTTTATGTTTTCTACTACTAGTGATACTGTTATTACTTCTATTACCCACGGATTTGTCTTGATAACTTTATCGCGTTTTGCTAACATAATATGGCAACTTGAACCAATCCACATATATTCCATTCTCTACGTTGTATGTGACTGACTGACTGTTGAGTACAAAGCTTTTAAAGGACGCTAACCTGTCACCAGTTCGTCACACAAAGTTTGAAATATATGATTATAATTTTGAAGTTAATAATCACCTTATTATAGTTATAATCTGTAGTGTTTCTCTCATTCGTTTAGTAATTATACTTGAAACTACCTTACCACATATCCTAATGTAGCTTCAACTGGTCTAGTTCTTAGCAGCTGAGTAACTTCAGCAGTTATTTTAGTATCCAAGATTGGTTTATCTGACTAATTCAGAGATACATTTATTGCAAATGTATATGATGACCTAAACGACAAACATATCGTTAACATGTTGATTCGAATTTCTGTTTTTTCATTTTGAAAATAAATTAGCTTGCCAACAGCTCCTCTTTGATTATTTTTAAAAGTAAGAAACCATTTTCAGTTCATCTTTACAGTAGTTTCTACCCAAACATATTCGATTGGAATATATCTTTTTGGGACTATAATTTATAGACGACCTTTGATCAACACTATGGTGACCTTGAGACAATTTATCAACTTACCAGTGTCAAAAAAAATTTTTAAGTTAATATTTGGAATTAGGATTAAAATTTGGATTTAGATGGGACGTATGTTACGTATGCCCGACCACCGACTGCCCCGATGAGCGATGTTTTATGGTGTAGGAGTAGGTTGGAAGAAAGCTAGAGGCGACCAGACCAAAACATGGCACAAATACATGAGGTCACTGACAAGAGGACTGAGCCATGTTGGTAGGCATAGACTACCTGGTTGGGATCCGCGAGACGACAGCAACCGATGGTTAGAGACCTTGAATGACATGGCTCAAAATCGTTTGCAATGGCACAAGTGCGTTCACTCTTTGTGTTCTCCAAAATTCTAATCTTCTGAACTCCCCATGTCCCTTTTCTTTTTCTCTTTCCAAATTTATTCCACTAGATTGTATTTCTTAAATAACATCTTCAAACCTTAATCTTTGCAATTAGTGCTTATACTTTTACTTCCTCTACCACGATGGGATTTGAATTGACAATAATATCTCTGTGCTAATGTGCTAATGTATCGCATATTGAACTGATGTACATACGTACGAAGTTCTACGTTGTTGCTGATCGACTGATTAAAGTAAAAATTCTCATCGCTAATTGACATCACCTATAATGCCAAAATGCTATTTAACTATATGAATTAACTATATAAATGAATTTTGCACCCAATTCCAAAACTTGCTATACTTAATTTGATTGGTTCGTCCATAAATGATTGTCTAGCCGTAACAATGAACACTTCTGTAATAAAATTATGTATTTTTTCCCATATTTTCCTGTCTGACTCATAAAATAAACTCCAATAACAGCATAATATCCTGTTATATTTAAGACAAAATTGCAAATTTCTCAATTTTATGAAATTAATTATGCACGTAAATATAAACACACTTCTTTTGCCAAATAGTACAAATATACACAAACCTACTGTGTACACGCATGTACATACAGATGCACATACACATACAAATCGATTATTCCGTCTGTGTAAATTTACCGTTCACATGTTCATTATTATCATTAGTGTTATTATTATTATTATTATTATTATTATCCGCATAGGACACATGAGGCTTATAGGCAATTTCTCAGTTGATCAATATTAAGTTAATTGGCAATGTTTCTCCACTCGTTACATGTTTTATTGTTGTTTTTTTTTTCTAATGGGGATACAAACTTACATTGTTGTTTATTTTTGCAGTATTGACGAGAATAAAAAGGGTTTCTCAGAATTATTATAAGTTACTCATACATTCCAGATTTTAACACTATCTACTAATTTCTGTTCTTTTTAGTATTGTTTAGAAATAACATCTTTTGATAAGAAATATGTAATTTTGAAATTATATATAATTTCAGCTGATTGTTTTATCTTTGTTACTTCGGTTACACATATAAATTTGAAGATATTTACTAATACGAATGACAAAACTATCTAATCTCATAACGCTGTTAATCTTAGAAACGTTCTTAGTAAATCAATGAGTGAAAATAGAAGTAGAAAAATTTGTTGTAAGCAACTTGAAAATAAATCGGATTAGATGAAGAAAGTTGTTTTACATGTATATTGAGTACTGTTGAAATACTTGTACCAAATTAGATATTACCATATTTTGTTTAGCTCTCTATATCTGTCGTAGAGACTTTGAAAACCTGATACTAATTTTATAGTCTGATGTTCTTTTTGTCCTATTCAACTTTATTGGTTTCCTCCAACTTAATCTTACATGCCAATATTAGGGAATTGTTTAGAATATCTATGAAGTTGACTAACGTAAACGTAATTAGATATTACAATTTTCGGTACTTTACTGCGTTTAAATATAACTTTGTTTTTGCTGTGATGTTCTGCTTCAGTGGTATATATCGTGTTTTATATCGTAATACTTTGCGATCTAAGCTTCACATATACTACACAGTGGTTTAACAATGAATTTTATAGACTCACTTTTGAAAACCTTTTACGCTGTGTTATAGTTAGCACATATTATCCATTTCCATTTTATTTTGTTTATAGGACAACGAGATGATTATTTATTACTAATAAACACCAATAATAAAAAAAAAACATTGTAAGCAGAGATTAATGATGGCTAGCAGCGGAATCCAGCACATGCATCTCGTCCCATTTGTGACTGGTCAGTTGAATGTACCTGCATCTCAGAGTTTATGTACACTCCGGGACTCGGACTCAGTGCCGTTCGCTTCAAACGCCATCACGTTATCCACTTAGCTACTGATTTTAATTCATCTTTTATTGGACATTTAAAGCTTCCTATTGACGTTTAGGACCGAACTCAATCAGTCTCGGAGTGAACATCAACTTTGGCTTGCAGGGACATCCAACTGATGAGTCCTAAATAGGATGAAATGCACATCCTGGATCCCACTTCTTGCCACCATCTATCTCTATTTATAATGTTTGTGACTTAAGGCAATATTGAGGCTATCCGCATACGATACACATATCCCAATAGAGACTGATCATTTGCAGTCTTCAACGTCAATGGGAAGATTCAAATAACCAAGTACAAGGTGGATCAAAAATATTTGTTTTATTATCGTCGTCATAATATCTTAATTCAGTTCTTTAGTCTAATCATTATGATTAATTTCTACTTCTTTTCTCTTTTCTTACCATGAATAGCTCCAGAAATCGTCAATTTCGATCCGATAACTTTTGCAACAGATATGTGGGCGGTTGGGGTATTGACTTACATTTTGTAAGTTGATTCATTTGTTTGTTTATGTTATTCTCTCTTTGTTATAGTCTTATTGTTAAAATTCGATTTTATATTTCTTATGTAATTAGTCTCTAACACTAAAGTTTTGGCTACGTAACACTTTGAATATTTTTATGCAGTCTTGTTTGAAACTTTGAACAATTCCTAGTATTCAATATTAAGTTCATAGATGCTTCGTTACACCGGAAAGTTTGATATGGTAGATTTGCTGATAATTCATTTTATATGTTGAATTGCCCAATGAATTAAGAAAATGACAGATGATTGTGTAATAAATCTATCCAGCTTGGAGAATACAACTTCATCAAAAGTATCTACCTGATGAATAAATCTTCTTCATCATTCACTGCCCAAACGTTTCTGTCTACTTTACTAGGCAATACGTAATTTGTCTTTATTAAGTGCATTGCTTGAGAATTTTCAAACAAATATTGTTTAACATCATTAAAATAAGTTGCTTTTTATTATTGTTAAAATACTCTCAATTAGAAGTTCTTTACCAGCATGTTTTTGAAAAATTTAGATTAATGATAAATTATATAATTATATAATTAATTGAAGGGTGAATCACTGCCATAAATATACTTGTTTTCCAAATAATGAAACATATGTATAAGGTTAATATATGATAGAAATTTCACTAATATACTAATGACAGGTCATGTTTAATGAGATGAAATCAATTATATTATAAAGTTTCAATTAATCCGTGTTGGGTAGAGACAGGTATCTACCTTAGTACAATGGAAGATGGTGCGCGATTTCGTGGGTTGGTTGGGGTTAAACATTAACACCGTTGGATACCGACTCAGTAGTCTAGAGGCTAATCCCCAGGATGAGCATTACTGAGGAGTCCCACGGTAGGACGAAACGGCTGTTCACTGCTTTCAGGTTTTCCATGGTAGCCTAAAACTGATCGATCCATGATCTCAATGCGAAAAATATTTGAGTATTCGAAGTATTTCTATACATATAATGGTACTTTTGTATGATTCGCTTTTTTCTTTTATCTAATTTTCCTTTTATCTTGTAAAAATTTATGTATGATAATTAATTCCAGAAATTAAATTGTCTTGAATTGGTTGCATTTAGCTTCCGTTGAATATTGCAGCAACAAGAAAAACTAATCTAATTCATCGAAAACTTGATAGAATATCTGAGAAGTTAGACAGACTAAATTACAAATCTATTATCAAATGTGGTTTTTGACATGAATTACGTATATATTCGATTATTTTTAACAAGATGGAGAAATCTGTTTTGATGCGATTGGTTTCCTTTAAAAATGTAAACAAATTAAAAATGAAAATATTTACAAAATACATTGGATTCATTGTATTTCATTGATTTCTGTTCAGTTACATATAACCTAATAAATTTGATTGGTTTAAAATGTTAACAATTTAAATTTTAAGGAATGAATTGTCTATTAATAAACTATAAAGAATCCCATGCTAGGATGAAACTGCCGTCCTGTGGTTCCAGGTTTTCTATAGTGGTCTAACTTTAATTGACTCATGAACTCAACTATTAAACTATAAGTTGTCTCAAATTAAAATGACATTGAAAATTATAATTTTAACAGGGTCTTCAAAAAAAATGATTGGAATAATTATTGTAGAATATTTGAAGTAATTTTAGTATGTAATCTAACAAAAATATGAGAGATTAAGGACGAAAATGACATTTTGAATAAAACTCACGTAATTGTAATTACCAGCGGGTTTTTTTTATTAAAATGTTAATATGTCTAGTTATCATGCTGATTGTATCTGTCATTATGGTAGTTGTATGTTAATCATATACCCTTTCCTTGATGCAAACCTCATGTTTAGGTCATCTACTACTTATTGCTTCCGGGAATCTTAATAAGGTAGGACTGGATAATTTACTGACTACTTAAATTACACACATTGTATCCAGTGTGTGTCCCGTGTCCAGAAAGTGGTGTATTATCGAAATACAAAGACTGTTTTGTCTTCATGGTCTTAGATTTTGGGGAATATTTTCAATAAAACTTGTAGGTGTTTGTTTGCAGTTGAAGAGAAAGCGACGAGATATACCGAATTTATCGTATCCTACGAATGAATGCGCTTTATTTAAGTCTGTTTTAGTTGTATTCTCCATCTGACTACAATTTTTTGATATACTTGTTATTAGGAAACAATTTTTATGTAATATAGTCTTCAATTAAACATTAATTCTTTTTTTCTCGATGTCCCAACTATACCCATTCTTTATTTACATGTTTAAATAAATAATGAATGAATGAATGTAGTGATACTGGAATATTTGGATGTACTGATAAAATTAAATAATATACTCAACATATAACGAAAATAATATAACTGTCTCTTTACTTGATGAGAATAGAATGTCCAATAAAACAAATCATACGATATAATTAATTATTCCATTTGAAGAATGAAAAATGCATACAAACTATTTGTAGTATCGGTTATATTATAGAAAGTAAAACCACTTATAAATACTTCTCGTTGTCTGTTTGAAGAAATATATATTATCTATTGTTAAAAGTTGTCTACCGAAGAAATTCGCGTTTTTGAAGCGGCAGTAAAACAAGGGATTTTCATCCTTAAAATACACTAAGAAAATACTCGTATCTTAGTAGCTGGAATTGATTTTTTTCCGGAGACCTATTGCATCATCCAACTTGCGCCTGAGCTTGTTCTAATCAGAAGCGACCCTATTTTCTTAACATTTCACCTCCTCTCTCTACATCCTATTAATTTACTGACTCTTCAATTAATACATTTCTCACTATGGTCCAGTTTTAATGTGTGTTATTTCAGAGCATGGAATTTTAATTTAGTAGATAGATATAACACTGTTATAATTGTAGTCATAATTTTTAACTGTACTCTTATGAGTTGTACAAGTTAATAATAATATATGCCTATAATGATGACATTAGGAGTAAGTAAGTAAAGTAAGTAATAATGATAATATTGTGATAAAGATACTTTTGGCATAAATGTTAGTGTTCAACTAATACAGTTCAACTGTCAAAAAATATTTTATCAAAGTTATCTTCTTGATTGTGTTTACCGGTACAATATGTTATGTTCGAATTACAAATACTACATCCTATATTCGAAACAGAGAATTTACATTCACCTTTAAAAATTTTTTTGGTAACATTATCAATAATCACAAGATATTGTTAATTCCTTATCATATTTTGTAGCAAGCTGTTTAATTTATATATATCTTTATTTTGTTTTTCTGAACGATTGTTTACCTCAATTTCCGTCAATTTTTATCAATATAATCACGATAATAGTAATGGTAATAATAATAATAGATCGGTTATTTATAATACTGACAACAACTTGTTGTTAACGAGTAATTGCTTACGTAACTAGGCTTAAATAAATAATTACTTTTACTGTTAATCACTTGTGAAATTCAAAATGAAAGTTTAACATTTGGTAATTAAATTAATCTTTATTCTGTATATACTACTTACTGGTATTAATAGTTTTGATTTATTAGCCCTAGTTCTGATGTTGTTCAATTCATGATTTATTTACGCAAATTTCATGATGGTATTCTTAAATTCATTAAATGTATTCATAATATGACGCATTGTGATATAAATATTCTGGTCTCCACCATTTGGTTTCATCTCTTTTTATTATATGAATCTTAAAGATGTTTATTCTAAGTAATTCTAAATTTCAGTAAATTTAAACGGATATCTAAGACGAGTTAATTAAACCCCTATCACCTCACTTACTAAAACATGTTTCCATGAAATTCCTAATTGTCACTATAGAATTTATCTAAAGTGATATTCGACTAAACGTTGAATTTAAAGTTTATGAATGTTGATAACTGTTATTACTCGGATGATCAAATATCGGATAAAATCGTCATGAAATTTTTCAAAAAATTATTGCAATTATATTACTATTATAATCGAATTTAGATACATATCCAATATTGAATCTCTATCAAAGCAACAATAATAAACTTAATAGAATAAGATTAGTCTCGCGCGTGAGCACTTAACCACTAGACCACTGAACAGGCATCCAACGGTGTTAATGTCTAACTTCAACTAATCCACGAAATTGCGCCACCGTCACCATTGCCTTCAGTGAGCTGATATCTCACAACAGACTTGGTTGAACTCCACTAGTCACGGCTTCTCACTAGAACTCCAGGAGTATCTCTTGAAATCAGTCACTGATGAGCAGATGATTATTACCAGAAGGGGTTTTGTGGAGATTTTAGTAATTTCAATAGTTGAAATCATGAGTCACTTGGAGCTAGACCACCATGGAAAACCTGGAAGCACTGGACGGTCGTTTCGTCCTAGTATGAGACTTATCATCAGTGCGCGTACACGATCCCGCCCTCCGCGAGATTCGAACCCAGGACTTATCAGTCTGGCGCGCGAGCGCTTAACCACTAAACCAATGAACCCGCATCCAACGATGTTAATGTCTAACTTCAACCAGTTTTTTGATTCCTCATCGATTGCATATAACTTACCAACAACAACAACAATGTAAAATCAATGTACATACTTTAAATCATATTCATGAAATTTAATAAAAGAAGGGCAATATATATGGAAGAATTAAGAAGGTATTCAATGTTAACTTGTGTGAAAATCTCAGAAGAAAAGTTTTGAAACACTTGGCAACAAGTTTCTAAAAAGAAATGAAAATTGATATCTAGTTATGTAATAACAAATTATTAGAGTAAAATGTGGAAAAATGACTCAAGAATGAAGAAAAAGATTTTATAATATAAACAAGAAATAAGATATTGCGCAATTCCATGCTGGAAAATAAGTTACCTAGGCAGTACCATATTTACATATGTCTGTTTAGATGCATAATTTTGATTTCAATCTCTCAGTAGTGATGACCTTGGCGAGATATAATAAACTTGAATTTGTTTGGGTAAAGTTTATTTTGAAACATTTTGGAATATCAACAAGATGA